CATTCAAATATAGGTGTATTTCTTTCACGTTTTCTTGTGCTTTAATGGTCCATTTTTCATCTTTCTTTATATTTATTATTGACCATAGATGGAAGATAGTGTTCAACTACTATTCGACGTGGGTCCTAATAAGAATATATTATGCCAGACGAAGGAAAACAGAAACCAGTTAAAAATGGTTTTGTAAATTCGGATTTGAAGTGTGAAATTATAAAAGTAAACTTAAAGATTCACTTTTTCCACGTACATTTGTTTTCTTTTAGAATGCTAAAAATACACAATCATCGAGATTAGATAATACATATGCAAGAAATTGATAAAAGTGTAAGTTTATATTCGTGACATCTACTTAGTTTATTATGTGTAAAAAATGTATCACAGTTTTTAACTATTTATTTGTAGAGTAACGAAGGAATGAACAGAGTTTTCAGAAATGTCGGAGGTGATTCTCAGGATTTCATCTGGTTGCACGAGAAACTAGATCGGTCACCACGGCGCGATCGTGGTGGTTCCAGAAAAATAGATGTATGTTTGCAAAAATGCTTATTTTTTGTGTAATTTACTTATTTCATCCAATTATGTAAAAAACTACAAGTGACAACGAATTTCATGTCAGCATATATATGCATGATACTAAAAACAAACGGAATGATCCACTGCTCTCATAATTTAAACCAGAATATACGATTCTAGTATTCGAACAAGAGTGAAATTACAAAATATCTAAAGAATTATTTTTGTTCATGACGTCCTCTTTCCCCAACGGGCCCGCCTTCCCCATGTCATCATTCGTCATGTGTATATATAACATACTTTAAAATAAATTAATTTAATAAAAACTGTTTTACGCATATTTAGACTATAATTCATCGCCCGATAAGAATCTTTTCAAAAAAAAGCCAAAACTAATGGAAAAGATAGATAAACAGATCTAGTATAGGCTAAAAATGGAAATACACTTTCCATGATGTTTAGAAGATTATACCGTTCAAAACCAAAGCAAAAGTACAACTGAAATCGTGAGAAGTTCAACACTAGGTAAGTTATATAAATATAGTTATTATCGAATAAAAAATGTTTCTCTCTAGCACTTATTGAAAATCGAGAGTATCATCGCGGTTTATTCAACATGGGAGGAACGTGTTATGTGAATGCTTGCATTCAAGTTTTAGCTAGTACTAAATTCGCTCCATTACTTCGACCAACAAATGAAGTGGATGTCTTGTTGCAACTCGATAGGTAGATTCCTTTTAAATATTATTTTTCTGAAGAGAATTCGCGCCTACAAGATCTAAGTTGAATATTGAATATGAAACGAATGTAACTGTATGTAAACGATGTGACTCTTTAGACTGATGTTTTCAATGTGAACTTGGTTGCCTCATGAATGACGTTCGGTCGCCTGGTGGGCCAATTCAGCCTGATAAAAATTTAAATAAATAAACCTCTCAATTACATAAAAATTCTTAGTTAATATTAGTATTGCTTTTATCAACCGATTACATTATGTTGATTCGAAATATGTCGTTGGTGTTCAGCAAGATGCAGATGAATTTATGGCTCAAGCTTTTTTTACAATGGCGTCAAGTACTGTTACGTGTCAATTGTGTCATTCTTTATATGATGAAATTGCTTGTAAAAGTCAAGCAACATTTCACTGGTCATCAATCATCATGCATGCTTTCGGGTTTAAATTAATTGAACAAAGACACTGTCGTCAATGTGGTGATGATACCCAAAATTCAGAAGAGCAATGCATACGGCGTGTACCATTGGTCAATGCCTCTCTTGTCGAATGTTTAAAAGAATATTTTTTAAGCGAGGAAGAGATTCTAAATAACTGTCATAAAGTCTGTGGAGCAACCAATAAATATCGGCGTACATTTATTAATAATCCTCCAAAAAATTTATTTCTTTTTTTCTTTTTCTTTTCTTTTTACTTTTTATTGACAATAGAAGAAAAAAAAAGTAATAAGACAAGATGTTACATGAATTGTGTCAAAACGGGTACATCAAAAAGCATAAGGGCTTATAACTACAACAAAAGTGACACACATACACCTAATAGGGAAGTAGTATACATGTGTATAACAGATCAGAACGAAATCAAATACAATTTTAAATTGCTTTCAAAAGATTTAATATTAAATGCTGATGCAACATACGAAGGAAAATTATTCCAATCAGACGAAGTAGAGTAGAAAAAAGAATACTGAACATTAGTTAGAGTAGTAAACGGTACAACGACAGGCAGAGGATTCAGACTTGCATTAAGTCTCTCAGACCTCCTAATATTAACAGGTGGTTGGGTAATGAGCAAAATACAATTGAAACGATTTCGTTCAGATGATACAAAAATCTGCATGATAATGGAATATCCTGAAACTCTTGATAGCCCGTTTATTGTACCAGAAGAAGATCAGTCACATTCATCATCACGTTATACGCTCTATGGAATGGTAGTACATCAGGGACTTTCGATAGATAGTGGTCATTATTATACCTGTGTTAAAAGTAATCAAGCCTGGAAGTTGATCAATGATGAAAATGTGGCTGATTGAATATGTCTGATGTTTTGAAAGCTGATAAATTTCCGAATGACTCTACTTCTATGGCATACTCAAATGCTTATATTCTGTGTTATGAACAACAGGCAGAGGAGAATTTCGAAATGGATTGTATAACTGAATATACATCTACTACAAAAGGTATTCATGTATTTTTCAGAAGATCTTTTAGCTATTTTCATATAAAACGTATTACATTTAGATCAAAAGCAAGAAACGAGAAGTTTAAATAATGAAATATTTTTAGAATACTATAATGGAATATTCTTCCGCTTGTATTCTGACAGAATAAAGCTTATATAAAAAAAAAAATAATGATAATGTGACTGATAATCAAAAAAATGAAAAAATGTTCAGCAATAGTCGTGTTTCAGTTGAAAGTAAAACAGGCAATCAATTCTCTCTAAAGTAGAATTTAGCTCTATACTATTGTGCATTTAGATGACATGATTAACAATATTTTTGAAAGACCTATGAAACATAGTTTTGACGAAGAAGAATCAAACAGTGGAGGTAAATTTATTCAAAAAAACATCTTGTGCACGATGAATTATGCAGAGTGGAAAAAATAAAATAAACGGAAGAGACAGTTTATATAGGGAAAACTCAAGGATTTTATCGCAGCTTTTCTATGGTGTAACTCATGCTTTTCGTCATTTGTTTTTCGTATTAGTTTTGTTTTGGGGCGGGCTGTATCTTGTGTTTTCGAGTTAGCGGTTTGTTTATTGATTGTTTGAAAGTTCTTTTCGGAGTAAGTCTTTCTGCAGTTCGGAATGAAGGAAGAACTGCCGAAACGGTTGGCAGTGACTTGTTCGTTGATGTTGATTAGAATGTTTAGTGTTGACGCGTATCTCGCCGTCTGCTAGCTTGTCTGGCTTGCTCGTTTTGGGGATGTTTTGAGGGCGTATTTGTTTCTTAGATGCCAGCCAGAGTTAGCTTTTTAAACTTCCTGAGGGGAGCCAGAGAAAACTACTTGTGAACTTTCGGAAGAAGTAATACGAATATTTTCCTCATTTTGGACTATTTTCAAACGATCAAAAGATGTCCACAATGGCTTCTAGACGTATCAAAATCAGTTTTAAGTAGATAACTCGAATTGTTTTATTCAACCATACCGAAGACAACAAAAATCATTTTCTGTAAGTTGCGAATTTCGCGCACCGTACATGTTGCGTTCGTTAGCACCAGGATCTTTCAGTCAAGGATTAATGAATCGAAGATGAGCGTTACTTGTATCAGTATTTTAAAATTAAAAATTATTTAGAAACAATACTGAGTTCTAATTCTTACAAATAAAAATGACATAGTTTGTTGTTTTTACGAAACTGATTCCGTTTCGTCATTATTCGTGTCCTGGTTTCTATTTTAGATCATTCCATACTGCAGTTATATAAATTAGGTCCGAAAAAACCTAAATGCCGACATTTCATACGTGTGCTATATGCAAGCGAAAAACAACCATAGGCAAAGCCAAGTTTTATTGTGTGAAAACAAAAAGAGTCGAACAAAAGTTGAAGCTTGGTTACTTTTACATATTCAAGCAAGAACTGGATACATCATTAATTAATAAACATATCCACCAAAAGTGTTATGATCATCTTTGTAGACAAGTACGTAAAATTTTGGATCTGGAAGAAATTGTAAATAAAACGAAATCAGCATTATCATCTCAACTTTTGCGACATACAACAACAACACCTCTTGCACCAATAACTGGCAGAACACCATTCCTTGATCGTCTTAATATTGATTTAACATTATCGAATATCGCTGATGGCCATTCAGTTTTGGGTCGAACAACAAACGGATCGTCCATTGGTTATACAGCAAATACTTTGAAGAGTAAATAGCCCAAGACTCTTCTGTGAAAAGAATTTCAATGCGACACTGGTAAAATAAAGTTTGACATCGCCATGCGCATGGAATGTCCAAACTAACCAAAATTCAGCACTGATACGCACCAGTGCGATACCAATGCCGATCGAATTTTTTTTATAGGATGATAAAATAATAAACGTATAGAAAATAATACACAAACTATTGTATTAGGTACTGCAAGCAAATCTAGCGAGCTCACATCGCCACCACCATCACTGTCAACACTTGAACAACGTTCAGCCCACCGAACTACTTTACATCCATCGATAATAGATACATCGCTGCCATCACTAACTACTCCATCAACCACAGCTATCTCAGTTAATACAAGGGAAGAATGTGTCATGTCAGTTGGTCGACATGGGAATGATGAAGAAACAACTGAGAGACAAAAGCCATTATTCGTAACTACAATGTCAACCTCGTTTTCTCAGACAGAAAATGGCTCAGCACTAGAGCCCATTGGGTCCATGATTTTTGGACCCGGGCCCGGACCCGACGATAAAAATTTATTCAAACCCGGACCGGAGCCGGACCCGATGATAAAAATTTATTCAAACCCGGAAAGGACCCGCACCCGCTCAAACAAAATTCTAGGATCCGAACCCAATAATTAATTATTTGTGATTCGTGCCCGAATCACTCATTTGAGATCTATAATGCAAAATTCTAGTTCGGATTTGATAATCGATCCAAAGATAGGATATCCTTTTTCTTCATTTTTTATGTTCGACAAGTAACATATTCTACATATTCGTTAAGTCATCCGATAGTCCGATAGCGATTCTATAATAATTAAATCAAATTTGTTCGTATTAGTTTCGGTCGAAGAATACATATGCATTTAAAAAAGTTTCATTATTTCTTTTGTATAACAACTATTTTATATTATAGTAGTCGTTCTCTTTGCTTTACTTAATAAAATATATATACAAAAATCTAAAAAAAGATCATGAGTTTATTGCTAAACATTTTTTGAATAAAAAGAACAGAAATAAACGAAAATAAAAGTAATGGAATTATTTTTTGTAGTGGATTTTTTTCTGGCTAATAAAAATTTATAGACCCGGACCCGCTGAATTCAAAATCTTCGGACCCGGGCCCGGACCCGGACCCGATGAATTCAGAATTTTCAGACCCGAACACGGCCGGATCCGGGTCCAAGCCGGGTCGGACCCGATGGGCTCTACTCAGGACCCGTTTCCCATAATATCATACCATCAACAGTTGATGCATCAACACATTTACATATTGATATACAAGAAACTTCCGGAAATATTTCCACAATTGATGAACCAAATCAACATGTGCCCAATGAAACACATAATATTTGAATATTCTAGGAGCCTATTGCATTCGACGCGGTAGCGCTGCTGTCTTATTTAATGTAGATCCAAGAGAATGGTATGGAACTAATATTTGTGGAAAAAGCAGCTTTTATTTCTTCTGTTTTAATATATTTGGGAGTGAAGAAACAATTATTGAAGACAGGATAAGAACAACTGAACGTGCTGAACTTCATGTAAGACTCTTTCGAGACAATTTATCTTTATATCTATGTTTTTACTTTTTAGAGTGCCATTCTAGCGCTGAAAATTGGCATTAGAGAATAATTTAAAAAAATCAAAATCTACACGACGCAATATGTCTTGACAGGTAAGTATTACTAGTATAAAGATCAAGCTGTATTTTATTTACCAATTTTTCATTTTAGTGGCGGACTTTAATTATGATGCGCCGATAAATGAAGATCTAGTTATTCAAATTCATTTTTTACGAAGAAGAATTCACGCGAGTTTTATGAGTTAGAAATGTGAACAAAGCTTTGAAAGATTAGATTTTTATTTTTCATTTTATTTTTCTTATCTAGAAATTAGTCGATCAAAATCATCATTCGTTGTGTGCTGCAGCGGCAGATGCAGCTTATAGTCATTTAGTGCACAATCCATATTGAAACTAACAAGAAAATTTTATTGTTTATTGTGGTCACTTGTTCTTTTTGCACTTCATATCGAAATCAGTTATACTTGCTATTATTTTTATCAAGAACTAGCAGAATGTATGCCAGGAGAACACGTTCTGACGGTAGGTCTCCAAGTGAAATCCCAATCACAGTGAAGAAAGATTTATTAGCAATCGTCATGATAGAATTAGTAGTATAATTCTTTTTCGTTGTTTGAAAGAAGACTTGTTTTTATGTTGCTACAATAAACGTTATATTAATCGAATACAATAGATGAATACCAGAATGCAATTTCATTCCTCCAACATAATATGACCTGAAAACAAGTTCAGAGCGACTATTTTACAATAGTATAAATCAATCTTCAAAAAAACTCGAATCTGCATAATAAGCCACTGGTGGATTTAGAGTACGCGCTTCCACGACTATTCTAGAGAACAAACAATCATTTTAAGTCAGTGCGCTCGAACTGTTCTCTTTTATGGCTTCTCCGCGTATTCCATAAATCTATGTTACCCACCAAAAGTCTCAATCTTATGCAAGAGCGAATTAACCTTTTTAACAACCAAAAACACAGGTACAGGAAAATGAGTTCGCAGCGAACGCAAATTGTGCACCACCTTATTTGCTCTCATGTTTTCTCGATGGTGTCTTCGTAATGTGGCGTCACCTATACCACTGGGATCAAGGATACCAGATTTCCTGTGGTGAAAACTTCTGCTATTTTGTACTGATTCTAAAAATAATGTTTCTATCGTGATTGCTCCACTGGCCACGTTTTTCTAACAATGACCAATCACAGTGTAATGGAAGTGCATCGGAAAATAAAATCAAGAAAGTGACGCAGTCCATGCCATCAGTCCACTGATCATATGTTTTACTTTTCTTCTTTTTGCTGTGTTTTAAGCGATTGACATTCGCCTAGATTTGCCAAGAAGGGAGTATAACTTATGTGATAAATCTCTAGCTATTTATTCATTTATTTACATTATGCTTGAGCATCTCTTCTTATCAAGATCCTTCGTAAATGTTAATGTCTTAAGAAGTTCTTAAGGAATTAGCATTTACTGTTTCTGATTGTTTTATTGATTATAAAAACTGCTACTTAGCAACAACCATCAGTACAACAGAGATAGCACATACAAATGATTTCTTGTATGTTAACAAGTAAACGTGTACACAAGTAGAAAATGAATCATTTTGTACTATACCCAAAATAATACAACTTTTACACGTGGTACAAAATGAGAGATGAGGCATTATGCCTCAAACCCTTAGGTAGGGATAGATGTCTCTGACGGTTATTTACTTTATTTTTATCATTCAGCGAAGAACAATTAAGCAAGCAAATATAATGTCGTTTTATTCTCTATCTCTGTAGTGTCTTTTAGCATCATGTTGATTTGAACGACGTAAACTTCTTTAGAACTATTTTTTCTTATGTCATGACAAAATAAGAACGAACTACAACCGTCTAATTAGCATGCTGTTCGTAGCTTAGTAGGTTAAGTATGATATATCACATGTTCGCAGGTTTGAATCCTGTCCAGCGTATTTTTTTTCGACTTATATCTTTATACAAAACCTCGGTTGAATTCTGGAGTACCCCATCTCAAAACATGTGCCGTACAGTGTAATCGACTACGGGGAATCCAGATATGCAGTCCGTTTTCACCGAACTTGTTTCTAAATTTTCTCTCTCAATTGATATGCAACCTATATTATTCACATCAACTTTTCCTTTTTTCTATCGAGGACATCCTTGAATTATAGTGATGTATGTATAATTAATGACGATAAATAATGATACTTCGATCAAAATCTTAAACATTAATAGCAATAATAATAGCCTATATAGAAGGATAAAATATTTTCTTTGTACTTTTTACCTTACCTTTCGTAGGAAACCATTTGTCGAAAGTCAAAAACTAGCAAGGCTAAACTAAATCAAAGTTACACAAAAAAAAATAAGAAAGTAACTTTTATCGTACGGAGTGGAGGCATCCTTACTTTATTAATAATTAGACAGTTTTTTCCAACATACATAAATAATTGTCACCAAGAGCAGTAATTTTAACAAAAATATTATCATCAAATAATGCTGAGGGTATGTAAAACTATAATAATTCTGGACATCGACCTTAAATATTTTCAAGACGCCAACGTCCCTACTAGCTCGTCGTACCTTTAGCCGCCAGTTGCTGATTCAATTCGCATCTGCTCACAATTCCCGCCAATACACGTCAGTCAGGATCTCGCCGGACATATAGGGTGAAGGAACTGCGAAAACGAGCAGAAATTGATTTGATCGAATCATACATGGTTGAATAGAGGTTGACGAGGAGACTTCGAATATGCCGTTCTTAATTTATTTCGATCGTGTTTTGGGTGAGAAATCTTTACAATACGCGTTAGTGGTTAAAAATCCAAACTTGTTTGATCAATTTCAAGAAAATTTAAGATTTCGTCCGTTTACACTGTTCTAAAATGTTTGAAACTATTTTTCCGGATTCAGTATCAAAAACCTGAGTACGACTATGTGGGTTGAAGTGAATTTACTTTTTTTTTGAATCTTCAGGTGAAAAAATGTTGAAATATGTATCATTCGACACGATTTTTGACGCTGATTCCAAATATGATATTTTCATTGCGTAAAAGGTGACTTATGATGGATAAAATGGCGGATCAGGAGCAGAATTTCGCTTCTTCCCAGTAAACGACTTTTCTTGGCGAGGAAATAAAATTTTTCTGAGTACTATATAATCGTACCCAGGTTTTTGATGCTGAATCCGGAAAAAGTAGTTTTAAAAAATTTAGAACAATGTAAACGGACGAAATCTTTTTCTTGAAGGTGATCGAAGAGGGGAGACGGATCAGGCTATTTCTCCTTTCTTACAGTTTTTAGACAAAAAAGTATATGGTTAGAATCAGCGACGAATTCTGAACAAAGTAGCCGTTTCAGTTTTTCGAAAAACTCATTTTCAAATTTTCGGAAAATTTTAAGCCTTTGTGGGAAAACCGAAAATTTTTTTTTCCCAAATTCGGTCATCAGATACATCACTAGAAGCAGAATTTGACACTGATCACGAATATCAGGTTGGAGACTGAAGAAAATTAAACTATCACCGAAAAACATTCAATTTATCCAAGGACAGTCAAAATGACCTTGTTTTTTTAAACATCTTTTATTCGCGAAATAATGCTAAAAAAAATACAACAACCAGAGAAAAACATTTATACTTCAGTTCGGGATATCCCATTGTATGCTGGATTCTACATGAACACGCTAGAATAAAATGAGTATATAGAGAAGAGAGATTATACTAGTGCTGGTGAAGGGAGAGAGAGAGAATTTGAAATCGACTTATGAGCTCCACTCTATCCATCTGACACCCTGCTGATGAATGTTTAGTACATCATGACTGATTGAACTTTCTGGTGGTATCAATGAATTGGAGGATAGCTGTATACACTCCTATCAGGTCCTGCTTAAGCAGTGCTCGGATAGATTCATGTTTCAAAAGTATGTGCTCCAACGTAATGTGATTATCTTTAAGGACAATACGCAGTTACTCAAACATAAAGCTACGAGACTTATCATGAAGAGCACAGTGCATGAAAAAATGTTTAGTAGTCTCTTTGTTAAAGCCACAT